CACCCGTCCCAACTGCGGGCCCACCCAGTCCTGCAACTATGGCCACCAGGCCACCCTTATCCCCCAAAGCACCATGCTTACGACCATGTCTCTCATCTTCTCTAAAGGCACCATTAAGAACAAGTGATTTTGGATGATGGATTTTTGATTTACAAACGGTGCATTTCCCTTGGAGTGGAACAGAAAGGAAACCATTTAATGGCTCCCTATTTTCAAGCATGAATACATTTTAATGAAACTATTTTATTGTATTTGAGGAAATGGAGAGTTGAACATTCCAACCAATCAATAGCCAATTAATTGCTATAAAGCTAAAAATAAATAAGTCCTGAGTCTTTTTGAAATGCCCTGCAAAGCTCAAAGCCTCCGGATCAGGCCTTCCCCTCCATACGTGTGCATGTGAATGTGTACATGCACATACACACGCGCACCCCTGTACCTCAGACATACTTGAAACTCACAGATCGTGCTGAGTCTCCTCATGCCAATTCTTGCCTGCTCTCCTCGCCTTTGGTCAGAGATGGTGAGCAGACCTAGCAGCAGCCCATCCCTTGGCCCCGAGCCACCAGCTCAGAGTGGGGTATTGTGGGCACTGAGGGCCCCCTCCTTGGCCCCAGCTGCTGGGCCTCTAAGTCTGGGAAGAGGGTGGAAATCTGACTTGGGTGTTGCCCTGACTCTTGCTGGAAGACGCCGCCCCGGTTCTTCACCCTCTAGTGGCCTTTGGACATTGACTATTTATAGAAATAAATGCAGATTACATTGCAAATGGAACTCTTTGCCAGGAAGACACATGGATTTAGCTTTTCATTCTTTGAGACAGTTGACTTTGTCTTAGGGACTGACCTTCCAGCATCAAAGAAATACATATCTACTATATCCGCCAAAGTTTGTGATGCCTGCATAGACGCTTACTTGTAAAAAAAAAAAAAAAAAAAAAAAAGTACAAAAAAAGTACAAAAAAACAAAAAACCACAATTGAATTGCCTTTGAAAGTAGGAGATGATCTGTCTCCAACAGATTGAAAAAAAAATGCTTCTTAAAAATGTGTATGTTTTGTATTCTTTTTTTCTAGTAGAAATACCTGACTTGAAATATTGGTGGTTTTTTTTTTCTTAGTGACGTGTGTTGCTTTTGTGTGTAATAATATTTGAATGTAATTACAGCAGTGCCGATTTGCCAAAGATGTTGGACATATTTTTCTTTTGTTGGGAGGAGGGCAGGGGCTTGGGGTGGGACTTGGGAGAAAACAGGGGTGGGATTTTGGTTTCATTTTTTACCTTTTTTTTCTTGTCAAACTTGGAATTTGTGGTTTCATTCTAAGTTAAATGGTTGACTGCAACACTTTTCTTTTAGATTAGTTGGAGAAACTTGCAATAAGATTGGCGTAGTTTCAATATCTGTGTGTCTTTTCATGAGTGACTGTTACTTGTGAAGGATTGATTTTATGTAACCTTTATGTGAGATAATTATTTGTAAATATTTGCCATAATTTTATTGGTTCCTAAAATAAAAGTAATTTTTTAAGTTCAGGAAAAGAATTGTATCTCATTTGTTTTTACAACTTTGTACAACTTGCATTTGTTTTTAACCTTTGACGAAGCCACATGGGGCTGTGGGGAACTTTATTGGCTCTCCTGATGAAACCAGGGTCAAACAAATCTATGCAACTAGAGTGCTGTGTTGAGGCATTGGACCGTGGCCTGGGCAGGGCAGGGGTTCCCAGGCAAGCCACCAGCCACTTGGCAGGGTGGAGCCCAACCCCGGATTTGACACCTAGCTCTGATATTCCACAGCCGTGGAACCTTGGTGAGTTCCGTAACTCAACTTCAGTAGCTCCAAAATGGTCGGTAACATCTGCCTCATTTATTCATTCAACAAACACCGAGGACACAGCAGTGGACGGGGTTAACAAGGACCCCAGTGACATGAAACTCAACAATCTACTGGGCTCCTGTGCGGGGAACGTGAACACACACTGCATGTGTGCTCGGTGACCGTGTGCCCTTGCACACATGCTCTTAACCTTGATCCAGGCTGGATCTTAAAACTGCCTGAAATCTAAAATATCTGTTACCCACACACCCTTGACATGCAGACAGAGCTTAGGAGTCCGTCATGCCAGGAGACCTTGGGCTCCAAAGTCACAGGCTATCCCCAGCCAGACCTCAGAGCCCAAGCGTCCACGATCCTTCTGCGGAAGATGCCCTGTCCCTATAGCTTCAGAGCGGAGCATTTGGACTGCATAGGAGCCCAGGAGTGGCTTTCCATCAGGGGCAGCTGCAGACCTGAGCCCTGCCCCTGCTGGGCGGTGTCAGTCTGCAAGGGCAGGCAGGGACCGCGGCGCCCCTTGGCACAGTGTGTGCGACGCGGTAATTGCCAGAGATGGAGTGGGTGAGTGACCGCGTGGGGGCCGTGGGCTGTGACTCATTCATATTTAATAAAGCCGGCTGTGCAGCTTCCATTCATTTTGGCAATGGATGGTGACGAAGGTGATTCCTGAGGGAGAGAGAAGGATGCTGGTGCAGCGGAGCACTGGCCCAGCTCCTTTCTTCCCAGCGCTCGAGGCATAGGGGCTCGAGCTTCAAAGACAAGTGGCAGCATTTTGGAACTGAAACTTGGACCCTTTCAGAGCAGGCCCCTCTGTCTCTGATGCCATGGCCCTCGTTCCTGGCTCCCCTGGGACAGAGGGGCCTCAAGCCTGCCCTCCTCAGCTATGGGACACCAGTATATGCAGTAACCCGGGCACGTGCAGTCCCCACATGACGGCAGAAAGGAGGCCACGGCGAGGCCTCCAGTTAGGAGGGTGGAAATGCCAACCTTGAGTACGCTCAGGCAGCCTTCAGCAGCCTCAGTGACCATCACAAAGAGGAGGAGAGGGGGATGGCTGACCTGCCATGTGAGACTTAAGCCTGAGGCCCATTCGTTCCCCAAGCTCCCACCATGCTAGGTGCTGGGTAAAGAGGTGATCCGTGGAGGGATCGGGCTGCATCAGGGCTGTGAAAAAGGCAGAAGGATAAAGGCTCCTAAGTGCCTGGGCTGGGTCTCAGCTCTAGATCTTGGGAGTCAGTTTGCTGGTATGAGCAGTCTCCTCACTTCTAGGAGCCTTGGTTTTTTTCTTCTGCACAATGGGTATAAAATCTCATAACATTTATTTTGAAGATGTGAGGAACACATGTGCTGTGCAAAATTTTTTTCTAAATGACCAGTGTGAGTTTGCCAACCTCTTTCCTCACTTGTAAGGAAGCCAGATTTTTACATCCAAAGGTTAAACTCTAGGCGGAAGCTTCTTTGAGCCAGGCTCACTACCAAACTCAGGAGGAGGGTTGCTGCAGACTGAACGTTTGTGTCCAGGCAAAATTCCTATATTGAAACTTAATCCCCAGTATGATGGTATTAGAAGAGAACTTTTGGAGGTCATTAGGTCATGAGGGTGGAGCCCTCATGAATGGGATTAGTGCTCTTTTAAAGAGATTCTGGAGAGTTCCCTCATCCCTCCCACCATTATGGACATAGGAAAGAGGCCCTCACCAGATACCAAATCTGCTGATGCCTTGATCTTGGATCCCCAGCCTCCCACACTGCAAGAAATAAATGTTTGTTGTTTAAGCCACATAATCTGTGGTATTTTTGTTATAGGACTTGGAGCAGACTGAGACAAAGGTAGAATGCAGAAATGAACTATCAAGGAACCTACTGAAGCCCTAGGAAGATCTTTACCTCACATCTTCCACTCAAATAAGCCCCTGGTGGATTGAAGAGTTACTTTTTTTTTTTCTTTAAATAGACTTGAAACTCACGACTCTGAGATCAACAGTCACATACCCTACTGACTGAGCCAGCCAGGGGTCCCTAACCAGTTACGTTTTAAATATTTAAAATAAATCTAGTAGGGTTTATAGATGAATATATCTCAAACTTCCTTATGAAATGTGACTTTGGAAGCTTAAAAAGATGGAAAAAATAGAATTTTGGCTACTTAATTTTTTTAACTTTAAATGCACAAAAAATGAAAAAAGAACAAATAACTTGGAAAAATAAACCTAAGTAACATGAAGAGGTGCAATGCCCTTAATAAATGAAAATTTTGTATGCAATGATATGAAAACTACTACTATCCCCAAAGGAGAAACGGATAAAGGACTTACATAGATCACTCACAAATGCAGACATATTAAATACAAGTAAATGTGCAATCTGGGATTAAAAGCAACATGACTCAACTTCACAAAGATCTCTTTTAAAATACCCAGTTCTGTTGGGGTGCCTGGGTGGCTCAGTAGGTTGGGCATCTGACTTCGGCTCAGGTCATGATCTCGCAGTTGATGGGTTCGAGCCCCGCATCAGGCTCTGTGCTGACAGCTCAGAGCCTGGAGCCTGCTTTGGATTCTGTGTCTCCCTCTCTCTGCTCCTCCCCCACTCACATTCTGTCTATCTGTCTCTCTCAAAAATAAACAAACATTTAAAAAAATTAAAATACCCAGTTGTGTCAAGGGTATAAAGAAATGGACACTTATGCTGCCACTGGGCTGTCTGACAATATGAGGCTCCAGGCCTGGGTGCTGGCCCCAGGGACACCTGGAGGAACAGGTGCTCCAAAGACGCGGTTCAGGTATCCTGCACCCACACCTGCCCACTCCCAGGTCTGTGGTTTTTCCACTAGGCTGGCTGCCTGCAGGATGACATCTGCAGCCCAGATCAAGTGGGAAACATGGTGTTTCAAGCCCAACGGTGTCATCTGCAAGGGCACGCAAGCAGCAGAGTTTCCCACATTATCCACAAACATGTGTAAATATCACGACGGCTCATAATGTAACCAAGAAAATCACTTCCCATTGTTTCCCCTTCAGTGATATTTTCTGCTTGGCTGAGTTTGCTTAGCACACTGGAAAGGCCAACTCATCAGTTCTTGTTGTTAATCAAGAGCAGTAATTGTCCGAGTTCAAAGCCTCCTGACTTAGACTCTGCTGAATAGGATAACAAGTTCCAAAAATGCTAAGTAGTAGTTTCTATAAATGGGACTTTTTAATAGGGAAGGCCCCTGAAGAGGGTTTGGAAAGAAAACCTTTCTGTGAAGTGGAATTAAAACATTGTGCATACTTTGTAGAGCATGGCAGATACATTCCTGAAACTCGGAGAAATTCTTATAGTGTGGACAGTGAGGATGCAAGCTAATTTTCTCATTTGCTCTGTGAACTCGTGTGTCCGATAAGGCAGTGCCAGCTGATGCAACAAACATACCCTATAACTGAAATGTCTCCACACAAAAGCATACACCTTTGGGGCGCCTGGGTGGCGCAGTCGGTTAAGCGTCCGACTTCAGCCAGGTCACGATCTCACGGTCCGTGAGTTCGAGCCCCGCGTCAGGCTCTGGGCTGATGGCTCGGAGCCTGGAGCCTGTTTCCGATTCTGTGTCTTCCTCTCTCTCTGCCCCTCCCCCGTTCATGCTCTGTCTCTCTCTGTCCCAAAAATAAATAAAAACGTTGAAAAAAAAGGAAAAAAAATTAAAAAAAAAAAAAAAAAAAAAGCATACACCTTTCACTCACATGACGGTTAAATGTGGGTGTTCCTGGTAGGGAGGCAGCCTTCCACAAAGTGACTCAGGGATCGAGGTCCCTTGTATCTTTTGGCTCTGCCATCTTTATGTGTAGCCTCCAAAGTTGTTTGTCTGCATCAAGGCTGCAAAAAAGATAAGCATCTGGAGTATCATGCCTTGGAAGATTTCCACGGGCAGGGCTGGAAACGGGAGACATCTTCACTCACATGCTATCGGCCACAACTCTGTCTTGTGGCCAGGCCCAACTGCAAGAGAGGCTGAGAAATGTAGTCTACCTGTGTGCTGAAGAAAAAGAGGAAATGGGTCTGGGGATAGTTAGCCAGGCTGTATCTTCATGACGCCACGAATTCCAGAGCATTTCAATCTCAGCTTCACTCAGCTCTTTCCTGCCACCTCTGAGGCACTGAAGGACGAACAGCAAAAGAATGGCGTGAATATGTCCTGCCCTCTCCGCTCCTCACCTTTGCCCTACCCTCGCCCGGACTCCAACTGACACCAGGTTTGGAGAACAAGTGTATTCCTGGCCTGCAGGTACTGAAGGAGTCCCACCGCTTGTCATCTGCAGCTTTGCTCCTGGTCCACTCTGACTCCTGGTCCGCCCTGCTTCTCAATGCAAGACTCTTCGAGTTGAGCTCTGATCAATAATACCCATTAGCACTTATTAAGCACTGTTTATCAGGTGCTGAGACTTAGTAGAATTTTTCCTGTTGTCCCCACATTGCACAGCCAAGACCCAAAGTTGAAACCCAAAGTTCTTGGAGCCTCTACCAGTTGGGCCCAGTCACCTTCTACAGTGCTACCTGAGAGATGACAATTTAAAGAATGACTATCAGTAACATCCTCCTACCTTCATCCCTCCAGTACAAATATAAGAAGACTGAGACAGAAACAGGTGGCCAGCTTGGGCAAAATGCAGGTTCAGGTGTCCTGGGGCAGAACTGCTGCTTCCTATCTCCAAGAGCATCCCTTGGAAGTTTGGAGGTATTTTCAAGAAACGAAGACTGGAATTTCACTCCTTGTATGGCCTGAAGATTTGGTGACCTGTGCCTGTGTTTGCTGAAGAAGGGGGAAGGAAACCAGACGAAAATATGGGTAAAGCCTTATGGGTTGTGGGGCACTATAGTTACTTGTCACCTTTACAACGCCTTACTGGAACCCTGCCCCAAAGAGCCTCTCCCTGGTGAGGGGACATCTGAAGGCTGTCAGCTGGAGGCTGTGTCATGTGGTGTGTGGTGACCATCTTTGGTGGGGCTGGGGGAAGGAGAAGAAGCGGAGTCAGATCTCCCACATCCAGGAGTCAGGGAGGGGAGGCACACAGGCTTTCCAAATTATGGTAAAGGTGAGGAGAGTCTACAGATGTTATTAAAGTCCCTAACCAGTGGACTTTACGTTAATCAAAGGGGAGATTACCCTGGTGGGCCTGACATAAGTAGGTGATGTCTTTAAGAGTATCTAGATGTCAGAGAAGCAGATGCCCTACTTTTGGCCTTGAAGAAGCAGTGTCATGTTGTGGAGAGGGCCATGTGGCAGGGAATGGTGGGCAGCCTCTAGGAGCTGAGGGCATCAGTTGTATAACCACAAGGAACCAAATTCTGTCAATAATCAGTGAACTTGGAAGAGGATCCCAAGCCTTAAATGAGATTGCAGCCCAGCCAATATTTGAGTTCAGTCTGGTGAGGCTTCAAGGAAAGGACCAAACTCCTGACCCACAGAAACTGTGACATAATATATTTATGTTGTTTTAAGCCACTGAGTTTGGGGTTGTTATGCAGCAATAGAAAACTAATACAGTTTCTCTGCAGGTTATGGGAGCTACATAAAGATGCTGTCTACTTGGGAGGATGAGGGTAGAATATCAGTATTGAGTTACGTTTGAGACTAAAGTTCCAGAAAGAACAGGACTGAGCGTTAAATTCCAGAATGAAACTGTTCTAATAACGAACTTACTAGAAAGTTCTAAAATATGCCTAAGATGTCAGTAAAGAGACTGCTCCCCTACCAGAAAAGGTGGGGGAGGGGATAGTTCCATAGAGCACAGCTGGAGCAGCTGGGGGAAAAGTTAAACCATGTTCATACCTCAAAGAATCGTGGCTCCTTAATAAATGGATTTCACATGCATTATCTCATTAAAATCCTTACATTAACCCTATGAGGTAAGTACAATTGTTAGGATCCTCACTTTTATAGGTGAGGAAACTAAGCCTGGAGAGCTCAGATATCTTGCCCCAGCTCACACAGCTGGTGAACAGTGGGGTCAAGATAAGAAGCCAAGCAGACCCCAGAGCAGAGTCTCTGAGAGTCATTGCACTCTGGCTGTGGGCTGAGTTTGTGAGTGCTCAGTGCCCTGGTCCAGCCACAGACAGTGAAGTCCTCATGGAGACACCAAGAGGATTTTGTTACTCCTCTTAAGAAAAGTACTCCCTGGGTGATACCTCTGGGCAGAGTTCCAGGGTTCCCTTATCCTAACATGCCTCACCTTGGCACTCCTTGGGTTCAGCTGAATGTTGAATCCAGGGAAAACTACAATTCCAGTCAAAAACCGTGAATCAACTGGAATTTCTGGGAACCATCAGGGTCTGCATTTTTAAAATGAACTGCCTGTTGTTTTCTCCTTCCTCCAGCCAATAAATGCTCCTTGATTTCTGCTCCATGCCAGGGTCTGGTCTGGGCACCGGGGCTGGGGACAGAGATGAATGGAATATGAACCCTGCCCTCATGGAGCTCCCCCTCTGGTAGTGAGGAGGCAAACCACATCAGGACAATGGTTTCACGAGCAAGTGGTGTCTGTGAGGTGCTGTGGGACACCCAGGAACGACAAGCAGGCACAGGATGTGGTAACAGTCATCATCACCTTTGCTGAGCAGTTAGGATGTGTCAGCTCGCCAGGTGTAGCTGCCACAGCCCTGGAAGAGGGGCCTCTATCTTCCCCAGATGCGCAAACAGGTTCGGAGGTTGGCGTGTTTGTCGCTTTCCTCCTTTTCCACAGAGAGATTAAGCTGTCCTGGGAGGAGGCGGGCTGAAAGAGGAGCTGAATGGATGTCCATTTGGCAACATTGAAAAGGTTCCTCTGAGAGTGACTGGACTGGGGGCCTCCAAGGTGTAAAGTGGTATTTCATTCATTTTTAGGTCTTTGCACTAAAAAAAGATAACACATACTTGTGTGAAAAAATCCAGAGCAAAAAAGTAGGCAGTAAGTCTCATTCCCACCTCTGAAGCCCCCAGTTCTTTCCCATGACTACAGTCTCTTTTTATTCTTCCAGAGATAATTTATGCATATATAGACATCATATGTATATACACATCTCTTTTTAAAATTTTTGCCTTTAGGGGCGCCTGGGTGGCGCAGTCGGTTAAGCGTCCGGCTTCAGCCAGGTCACGATCTCGCGGTCCGTGGGTTCGAGCCCCGCGTCGGGCTCTGGGCTGATGGCTCAGAGCCTGGAGCCTGTTTCCGATTCTGTGTCTCCCTCTCTCTCTGCCCCTCCCCTGTTCATGCTCTGTCTCTCTCTGTCCCCCCCAAAAAATAAATAAACGTTGAAAAAAAAAATTAAAAAAAAATTTTTTTTGCCTTTATTTTTAGTGAGAGAGAATGAGTTGGGCAGAGGGAGTGGGAGAGAGAGAATCTTAATCAGACTCCATGCTGAGCATGGAGCCTGATGTGGGGTTTGATCCCACAACCATGGGATCATGATCAGAGCCAAAATCAAGAGTTAGATACTCAACCAACTGAGCCAGCCAGGCGCCCCCACATCGCTTTATTTAAAATATTTTTAGTTAGAGAATCTAGTTTCTTAATAAAATTTCCTTTAAATTTTTTTAATGTTTTCTTATTTCTGAGAGAGAGAGAGAGAGAGAGAGAGAGAGTGAGTGCAAGCAGGGGAGGGACAGAGAGAGAGAGAGGGAGACACAGAATCTGAAGCAGGCTCCAGGCTCTGAGCTCTCAGCACAGAGCCTGACACAGGGCTCCAACTCACAAACCATGAGATCATGACCTGAGCCAAAGTCGGATGCTTAACTGACTGAGCCCCCAGGAATAAAATTTCCTTTTGAAAGAGACCAATGTTTTCTTGGCAAAGCTAGAAAGAATAGAAAAAAAAAATTAAAAATTAAAAAAGTATTTATTTTACTACCCATATTAGAATACATCAGCTATGAATGACTGAAAAACCCAGAATAACAGTGGTTTAAACAAGCAGAAGATTACCCTCTGTCACATATGGAGTCTGGAGGCTGGTGATCAGGGCTGATACGGCAACTTGGCAGCAGGAGGCCCACAGAGACCTCCTTTTAGTTCCTCAGCCCCAAGGTCCAAGATGGCAGCATCAGGATTGCAGGGATCAGGATAAAGGAGACAAAAGAGAACCAGCTGTCTCTTAAGTAAGGTTCCAGGAAGCTGGTACCTGACACTTCTGCCTATATCCCATTGGCCACAACTAAATCACATGACCACATCTAGCTGCAAGGGAAACTGGAGAATGTGATCTTTATTCTGAGTGGCCCTATTTGTCCAGCTACAAATTCTATTGCTATGGGAAGGGGAGAGAGTGGATATTGGAACATAAGCAGAAGTTTTTGCCACACCACCTTGTCTCCATTGCCTGTAGCACACTGCCTGGTTCAGAGAAGAGATTCCTTCCTTTTTATTCAACTAGTCCATACTGAATAAGCATTCATTGAATTAAATTGAAGGAAGATGGGAGATAGGGCAGACTTGTATGAAGATGGTAGAGGACCCAGAGTTTCTGCTTCAGAAACTCAAGAGGGACTGGCTGGGACCCCCCCTCTACCCTCACTGAGAGAAATGGCATCTTCCTGTCCTATTCTTCTCACACCCCTGTCAGAAGGTCCTTACCTGGGGCTCAGGCTCTCCATATGCACAATGGGGTGGAGGACATAAGGTTTAATGACATGCTCTCCAGCCCTTCCATCTCGAAGTGACAATGAGTCTGTGATTCTAAATGAATCAAAGGCAAGGGACCAAGCATTGACCACAAGGACTCAGAGTCAAAGATGAGAGATCAAAGAGACTGAGGGATCTCTGGGTCTGGCCTTACCTGTGGTAATCTCCATCCCACAAAAGGGCTGAAGCCCCCAGGCACTTGATCCTGCTTAGGCAATGAGCTAGATCTCAATCAACACTGGCACCAACCCAAGGGCTGGGAAGAAAGTGAAGAATGAAACTGTAGAACTCTGGCTACAATGAGGTACCTGTCATTGAAAATTACCCCTAAGCCAAAGAAGGGTCAGGCTGCCACGGCAGCAGACTGCTTGTCAACAGAAAGCGTCTGGGGGAAACTATTAAAAATAGTGGCTTGGAGGTCCATGAGGGACAAACCATGGGGAGGGGGGAGTGAGACTCCTGCAAAGAGAAGCCTGTCTGCCTGATCAAGGAAGCTTGTTTGAGGAAGAATGATGTTTGGATGAGAACGAACCAAAGGATGTCATTATTTAGTCTTCAAATGGCTTGGGGACATTCCACAGAAAACACACTAAAAACAATGAGCTTTTCAAGAAGTCTTGAAACATTTCTTCATGAGTAACAAATTGGCTTAGGGAAAGGGAAACCAAATGTGATAAAGAAAACTTCTCTGAACAGAATATAGTAACATTATACAATTCTCTAGGGTGTGGGGTTAACTGGCTTTACTTAATATTTGATAGTCATTGGGGAGAATTCCTTGTGAGGAAGATGTTAAGCCATTTGGAACTAAAGCATTTAAATGAATCAAGTGAACTTCAGTGGGGTGGGGGAGGGGTGGGAAAGGACAGACTACAGATTTGGGGGAGTAGAAGGCACACCCCAGGAGCTATGTGTAGATTAGAGATGCTCAAGGACTCCCCAGAAATTGAAGGAATCAAGGAATGGAGTAATCTTTTAAGTAGAGACTATGCATATGGAATATCTGGCCAATCACAGCCCTGGGTGTGTGAACGCATTTATAGCGGCTCTAAAATGAGGAGGAAGGGAGGCCCTGCTGCCCGTGGTCCTGAAGCATCCTTCAGTACTTGACCAGCCAACAGTTGCTTCTCCTTTTGCCAGGACAGTAGGCTTTCTATCTAACTTCCCCAAGCAATTCTGAACCTGGTGAGGATTTTAATTTTCTATCTTATTGAAAAATGTGTGGTTTATACAATGTCGCAGAACAAATAGAATTGGGATTTATGTTTCACAACTTACATGGTTTGTTTGAGCTTTTTCTATATGTCTTCGACAGTCCTATCACATTTCTGACAGTTACATTTTTTTTTTTTTCCTTTCTGGGAAGGTGGGGAGAAGCAGAGAATAGGTTTTTCTCTCTTCTCCACTAACCTTTACTTGGGAGTATTTGTGTGTGATATATAAATTTATGCATGTGTATCTCCTATGAGAGAATATTTGCATGTAAGTGCCCAGCATGTGGGGTTGTATGTTTGTAGGTGTGTGCTGGGCTCCAGTGTGTGTACATGTACATATTAAGTGTAGTCATATTGTTTGGATACGTTTTTGTGATGTGGCAATGGCAGTGGTGGCGGCGGTGTGTATGATAGAAACAATTAGCCAATTAATTAGATGTTATTCCAATTCAGATGTCATTAGTAACCAAACCTTTCTCCTCTCAGTGTCATGCACTGATGTGTACTGGGCCTGACAGCAACTGGGAGGAGTTGAATTAGTCTCCATTTCCCAAATTCTATGTGTTTTTAATTAATTCCACATTATGTGTTTGCAAGTGCAATAATTTAATTAAACAGATGCAGAAAATACTCACTCCCAGTTATTAATTGAGATACATTTCTTCACTTTGTGTTGCAGAGTCTTCATCAGGAAGTACTATTAAATGTGACATCAATCCCAATACTTTAACTCCTTTTTCATTATTAAAGCAGATTTACAACTTTGGAGTCAGGACATTGGTGTAGGGTTTTTTGTTTGTTTATTTGTTTGTTTTTGCTAGAAATTTCCCCTATATCTGCGAATCAGCTTGTAGCTCAATGTAAATTCAGTGTAGAATTTAGTCAGTTATTAAGCGGATTTAAGTGGCTGAACCCTGGTGTAATCTGACCAGCAATGCATGAAGGAAAGAGTTGGAGGTGTAAAAAATGTCAAATAGCTTTCTCAGATGCATTAAACTATTAATAAAGATAAAACGATCTTTATGTTTGGGGTTTAGAACATCTCTTTTATGATATCGAGAAGCCACTTTGATTCACGACTCGTTGGCTTCAAGGTCTGGCGTCATTATTCAGAAGGTGTCGGGAAGAAAACAGAGACGAGCTGCTCAGCAGGGGGAGAGGTGAAAAAAGAAACCGTTTAGGACTGCCCTGGCCTGGCTGGGTTGAGCAGGGAGATGTCCCAGTGAAGGGATGATGTAAAAGGCAGCTGGCACTCATGTCCATGCCCTGTGGAGCCCTCTGTAGAGGATATCTCCACTTTCTCCAGAGGCGAGTCAGCTTAGGGCCCTCTGGCCTCTCTGCAGAGGGGCTGGCCTGTGGCAATGTTGGGGGGTATGCGGGGTATTCTCTATCTGTCCCATACCCCCACCTCCCATACCCCCTCTTTTATTCTCTTCCCTGCTCTGTATCCCAGGAGGTTAATCTCCGTGGACCACAGCACTCAGAGCCCCCTGGCCCTCTGGGAGGCACCAGACAGACAGTAGAGGGAGAGAAGAGTGAGGAGTCAGAAGATTTACCCCTAGTCGTTCCTTGCCTCACCCCAACTCTATAGTGACTGCTTTATAAGGTTTACATCTTCTTACAGCCCCTGTCCCACGGCTCCTGCTTTCTCCAGGTTCTGGCAACAATACTCCCTCGCCCTTGCCCTTCAGGCCTTAAAGTGTGATGGCTCCCCACCGATGCCTCACTATCCCATACTGGTTTCCCTAGCTCGGCTCACAGCTCTGCAGAGCCCCGTCAGTAAACTCTCCTCGGTTGAACTCTTTGAGAGGGCCAACCATTTTCTCCTGGACCCTGACTGATTCAGGAGGTGCTCCCAGGGAACCAGACTCTGACCCTTCTGGAGCTGTGCGTACGGGTGGAGGGAGGTGGGCTGTGTCAGCAGGATGGGGGACGGGGGGGGGGGGGCGGTCAGGAAGAAGGAGGCTGGGCATAATGAACTTGCTGCACGGGGAATGTTGGTGTGTGAGGGCCTCTCTGTCCAA